CCCCCCACCCCAAATCTTTTTCCTCCTTTGTGCCTCCATTAATGGAAGTTGAAGAATTCCTTAACCTCTTTGATTTTCACTGGTTTCAATCTCAAATACTCAAACCCAAACACCCCTTTTCTACAACAACCCCAATTCTTGAACCCATCAAACAAATTCTTGAAGAAACCCCAAAACTTTCAAGAACTCCAACTTTTATGGTCAGATCTCAGAGTGACCACTGTTTGATCTCTAAAGATTACACCTTTGATAATATTTCAGAGAAATCACAATCCCCATCTCCAAAATCTGTTCTTGAAGCTAAACTTCAGCCAATTCTGTCTGGAAAAGAATACAATGAGCTCAAATTTTCCCCTGAAGCAGCTGTTAAAAACAGAGCAAATGTAAGAAGCAGAAAGAAGCGAAGTAAAAATAGTAAAAGTTTATCAGAGCTAGAATTTGAGGAGCTAAAAGGGTTTATGGATCTTGGATTTGAGTTTTCAGATAAGGATAAAGATTCAAATTTGGTGTCAATAATTCCTGGATTGAAGAGATTAGGAATGGAAAATGAAAGGGGTTTTGATGAAAATGATGAAAGTGGAGTTTCAAGACCTCATCTTTCAGAAGCATGGGGTGTTTGGGAAGAAAAGAAAAAAATGGAGGATTGGAAAAAGAATGCATTGAAAAGTTGGAAAATTAATTCTGATTTTGGAAATGAAATGGAAATTAAAGATCAGTTGAAGTTTTGGGCTCATACTGTTGCTTCTACTGTTAGATAGTAACCAGACGTGGGTTCGAGTCTTGGATATAAGAAAAGTTTTGATTGAGTGTTACCCTTAAAATAGGTTTTGTAATGCGCGATTTGAATTTAATCAGAACTCTAATACGAGTATCGAACTTCGAGTTGAAACCAAAAACCAAATGATAGCTTCAAGAAGATGAAATGGGATTACTTTTTCTTTTGTTGATCGAACTGTAATATATTTGAATGGCTAAATTTTTCCAATTAATCATAGAAAGCTTTTTATTTACTAGATTGATTTGTTATCTTACATTAAAATCATCCTTAACAATATTTTTGGATTAATTTGTACATATTTCAACTATTTTATGACATTGTTACATTGTTAAAAATGATCAAGTAGTTCATATGTTTTAATTTAGGGCAATTTACATAAACCTCATAGTTTTAATATGAAATTACAATTTATCCCTCTTTAGTTTGTAATTACATTAATCCCTTAAAAAGTAACACAAACCGAATATATAATATGTAGCTCGAATACATTAAAGAGTATTTCGGATACATAATATGTAGCTCGGATACATTAAAAACTAAGAGATTTTACAGATTTTTAAAAAATAGAAGGGGATATTGGAAATAAGGGAAACATAAAACGTGTATTTCAGTAATTTTTCCTTTTTATAATCACACAAACATCACTATAATCTGTTTGAATTGCTTTGAAATTGAATTTTTGTTATTATTATTTAATAAATTCTAGGTTGATAAGTTGGTGAAGAATTGATGCACATGAAACCTATGACGAACCATACATCTGAATGAGAATGGAAAATGAAGAATTATATAAGACATAGGCATAATGCACGTTCATATGATACACACTTTTAAACTCAATAATGATATAACTCGAGGGATAAATTTATAAAATTTATTGAGATTAAGCGAACAATGTATGTCGTGTGCTTAAACCATGACAAGTAAAGAATGCAAAAACTAAAGGCCGCTTAAGTAAAACTAAATTAACGTTAGATGTTAGGTCATTTCGAAAGTAACTTGATTTCCAACTAACTGGACAATGATTGGAGTAAATTAACAATAATGGTGCCAAATTACTACGTTTAATATCAATTTAAGCTATATACACTAACGATATTTGAAGATAGTTTGCAAGTATGCATGGCGAAGAAAAGCTCACCAAACATAGGCATTAAAAATGATAACAAACATAGTGTATAAAAGATATACTTGATCTTTGATGACCTACGAATAAAAGTTTGTGTATATAACTTAAATTCCTTTTAAAGAGCGGAAGAAGAGGCTTTAACACATTATGATAAGAAATACTGTTATAGCCTCTCCCTCCCTTCTCACTCACCAAACCAAAAAATGTGAAAATGATATACCAACCCCCCACCCCACACACACACCAAGAAAACACCAAGAGAGTATGAATTATGATGACAATATTGAATATAGTTACCAATCATCAACTAGGAGTATACAATAGTCAACTAAGTATTGTTTACATGGAGAATAATAGAATATGATGTAACAGACATTGATTAAAATAATGGTCATGCAAAGATTATGGATGACTTTTTTCTTATAATATGCTTACCAAAGTCAACACACATAATAGCAGTGAAAAGAAATTAGATTTGAAAAACATGTGAAAAGAATATAGAATAATCAGAAGGTACATATTATTCTCACCATTTCCAACTTCTGTTTTCTATGCTAAAAAGTCAAGTTCATACAGAAACTAAGTATTTTTTTAAGGTATAGCAGGACAGTAGGGCTGAAAGTATACAATCAATTAACATAAGAGATTTTAATGTCAAATGTGCATCAATAGTACTTTTCATGCTAGAGTTGTGGTTTCGAACCCACGCCTCTGCGTGTGAAACAAGAGGATCGATGCAAAGACGCCCCAAACTCCTAATCATGGTTGTGCCTCTGCAAGTGAAACAAGAGGGTCGATGCAAATACGGGGCTATGCAGAACACTATTAGCTTACTGCAGACTAAAATAAGTACTTACTCATGACACAAATGAGTTGCCTTGTACTATTCAGTTATCAAATCCCAGGGGCAACAGATAATATTGTGTTGTCACAACTCACAGGAGATTTTTCCCACTTCTGGTGCTAAAATGAAAGATCTCATTCAAATGCACTCTTAGGTAATCAGATAGAATCATCAATCATGAATATCACACGACGAATACACAGGTTGAATAATTGTTTTCTCCATTTTCTTCTCATACAACTTTTATTGAATTATGAATAGTCTTACATACAGATAGATGTACCCGAGGTAAATTTTAGCTATATAATTACATTGATATGGGGAGGAACCATGACTATCATGAATATACTATATCTAAATGTACCATATTTTACAAAGGGGAGATGCATGTACCGTGTACTGCAATGTTGGTTAGGAAGTATATATATGTCAATTGTCATTAGAGATGGCCTCGGGAAGTTTAAAGGTAGGAGGTTTGTCAGCACCTCTCCTTGAGTACTCTCTCCATCTTCGAGCAGCTGCTGCAGCTCGTTTTGATCTATCTTCCACTTCCTCCTCTGTAGAAACCAAATCAAATTAGTTACACAGATAATACGCATAAGCAAGTTCATTTAGGCTTAGTTTTCCTACCTGTCTTTGTGTAGTCTTTACGATCACCCCATAGGTTATCCCAGTATGATTCAGTTTTCTCAGAATCTTTCTTCTTCATCATTCTGACTTTAGCTTGTTCCTGCAGTAGCTTACATGTCATAAAAGTTTGCAATCTAATCACAATGTTACAACTATCAATAGGAGGAAAATCGAGCATGAAATCCCGTATAGGAAACAACTTTATGTACCCCTCTGTTAAACAAACAAGTCCACATTTTCCGATCTTGCTAGTAATATCCCATGAAGGTAAACTCTACCGTTAACTAACAAGATTCGAAGCAATATCTTAAGTCATGGAAATTTCACTGCTAAAAAGGAGACAAAAATGAACAAAGAATAGAGGAAACAGCAGCACCGTGTCTAAATTTACTAGAACTTAAAACTTCATAACGCATGAATAGCCAAAAAAAATCTGGAACATGCATAAAAGTATAAACCATTTGCAACACGTACCATGAGCGCCCTGGCATATATAAAATACCACTGTCCGAAATATTGTTAACAAGCAATTCGAGATTTTGTATATAAGCAAAACAAACAAACTGAACAATGAATATAACAAGATAGGTAAAAGGTATATTTTAAACACTTGAGCTAGGAGTTCATACCAAGACTTTAGATTGTCGTTTTTCCCACCGTGTGCTCGCCTGCATCATAAAGTGTTTTGACATGATTCAAATGTGTAACGGGAATTGGAGAAAAGAAAATCATTAGCTGAACTTTAAATGCAAAGAGCTTCACTATCAGAACATTTCTTAAAATATACGACTTGCTAATTCAGGCAACTGTACAAATCATTCCGAGAGTGTGCGCAAACCATCATTTCACTAAGAAGTCCAAACAAAGAAACAGAACTAATGGTGGTCTCGAAAAATAAAATAACAGAATAGTTGTAGATAACATGTGGAACACTGTAAGCTGCAACAGAATTATGGACATCTCAAAGCCAAAAATATCATGATAACATCAACTAGAAATTAAACTCATACAGCTAAAAGAGACATAAAATGGAATTATGGTTTACCATTCTGAAAACATCCATGGCTCCACTGCCCATTCCTGATAGCATCAAGGCAACCTATTGACACATAAAATACACATGTTACACTCAATACCAAGCTAAAAAGAAGATCAAACAAGATTAAGGAATTTGTAAAGTTTAGCAGCATATGTTGTTTAGTTGATAGAGTCATTTGAAACTTGTTAACTCAAACGGAAGCAAATATTTGGATAATCTAGATGCATCACAGAATACCATCTCCAAACACAACAAGAAGCAAGTAGAATCTATCTTTAAATGAAAGCAATACATCAAAGCATTTCTCCACAGCTAGTCTGATTAACCAACTGTTACTTCCACAAAATCCCTTTATACCTGATCAAAAGCTACAGACCTACTAAAACATTCACCCTTCAGCAAAACATTCAAAAGGATCTTACAAGAGAGAGAGAGAATGTGTTATCTTTGCTGTAGATGGAAGATCATATTCCATTTATTAGACCACCAACTTAGATAACTCTGCAAAGGAGTAGTCTGCAGCATACTCTTCTAACCCTTGGCCTGGCTGATTAGTTAAAGGCAGTTTACTAGATATTAAGGAGAATGCAAGGTATTTTGAATACTACAACTTTTTTGGTCGCGTAGAGTTGAGTGAGATGATTAAAGCAGTATCTACTTATTTCGTGTTCATAGAACTTTTAGGTGATTAGGCAAGTTCAGTCAGCAAAAAACATAAATTTAGGTTATTGATATCCAAAGTATTACATGGATCTATTAGGTTATTGATATCTAAAGTATTACATGGATGTATTAGGTTATTGACATCCTGAGTATTCAGCAAAAAGCATAAATTTAGAATTGATCTGGCAACAACTCGTGAAGTTGTCGAGCATTTTAGAGCAGCAAAAAAGGAATATAAACTGCATACGTGATGGACATAAATCACCAAGATAAATGAGAAATGTAGCTCACATTTACTCTTTCTATTCTTCGCATTTCATCCTCAAGCAAAGACAGCTGTGCAGCAGAAGTCCAATGTATGCAATCCACTGGGCTGCAAAGAGAAAGAACTAGTGATTTGACTAGCAATATCATTCGATCCTACAACTCCTGTGAGATGGATATAGCAGAAGTACAAAACATAAGGATCGTAAAACAATCAAACCATATTGGCAAATAAAATGGTACTTCCAAGATATCAGCAAAAAAGTAATGATTTAGCAAAGGATTAGTAAGATCTTCCATATTTAGGAAGAGGCAAGATTGTTGAGCCATTGGACGAGTCCAATTTGGTACTCCCTCCATTTCAATTTGTTCATCTTACTTTCCTTTTTAGTCCTTTTCAAAGAGAATGAC